TACTCGCCATCTTGCGTCGGGTGGTTAGCCCCTAGCTTTCGCCTTGAACTCCCCTCACTAGCCGAGTGCAGTCCAACCGCAGACGCCCCTGCCTTTTCCAGGCGCGTCACGCACTTCGAGCTCCGAAGCCTGAGCTCCGGCCTGCAGCCTGGGTGCTCCCCAGACGCCGCGTCTTTCTCTCCTGCCTCTCGCGCTCCAGGTACCGAGGTCTGAGGCGCTCTTCTCTCTCTCTCTCTCTCCAAACTTGGAACGAGACTTTTCAACCCGCGCCTCTCAGCCCGCCCAGACAGCTGAGCGCAGGCGCAACTGCCCTGGGAAAAGTGAGAGGCGGCCAAGGGGCGGGCCTGGGAGCCAACGGCTCCTCTGCCTGGCCCAATAGGGAGAGGCAGGCGGGTCTCACGCAGTTTTCGGGGGCAGGTTTCTGGGGGGTAGGTGGAGTGTTGCGCGGCAGGAAGTTGGTAATGCGCATGCGTGGGGCCTCGCAGGGGCGCTCCCAAGGCCGGCCGCGGGGGTGGATGGGGGCGCGCGGGGGTGGGGCGAATAGAGGCGCTGTGTCCAGGGCTGCGCGGGGGCTGCAAGCCTCGGGCCAGCAAGCCCTGGGGCCTCTGGGCGTGGTTGTTGGAAGCGGAGGCGGCGGGGGCGAGGGAGGGGGGCAGGGAGCCTGGAGCCGCTTAGCCAAGGCAAGGCCAGAGGCAAAAAGGAATCTGGCCACCCTGGCCCAAGGTCTTAGGAAATGTTTTCTGTTTTCAAAAAACTAGTGCGCGCCTCCCCCCCCCTCCAAAGCCCTCTCCCCCATTAATCCCGGCCTTGCAAATCTGTACACCCCCGGTAAGGTTTTAGACCAGCCAGATCAGGCCTGCAGACCTGGGTGGGCCGTGGTGGGCCTTGTCAGCGTTAAAGTATCCTTTTGGGGAGTGCCCGGGCGTTTTCTGACTACTGGGCCACCCTGTTAGGCTGAACGTGCGGCCTGCGGTGTCTCAGGCAGCCAGACTGTGGCCAACTGGAATAAAGTGCTTGTTTGTTCCCTGTGCTTGGGTCTCTAAGTTCGTACTCTTCGCAGCAGGACACCAAGCCCTGCCCTGTATCTTCCTGAGTCGTAATCTAGTTACATACCTGGTCCGGGCCCCATCCCCACCCTCCCAGGACCAGAGCTGGGCAGAGCCACTCTTAACTCCTTGGATCTCTGCTCCCCTCGAAGCCGGAACTTGGTAGCCCCAGAGACGGAGGTGATCCCTGGCTGCAAAGCTGAAAGGGGAAAGGGGAAGCGAGAGGCAAAACCCAGGGCTTGAATCGGAGGGGCCCACTGGCAAAGATAATAGCAGGGCCTCCTCCCTCGGCACGAGCACCTTATGAACGTGGTGCCTTGACCTTTCCAAGTGACTTCCCGCAAGTAACCTAGGGGTTGGACAAGAGAGTGCCGGTATTGTGGTGACACCCACTTTTGTGATTTTGAGGGAACAAACCCAGCAATCACTTTCATTGATGGCAGAGCACGTCTATGACCTTGCTTATATAGAAATGTACTATTTGGGAGCTCTGGTTTTCCATACATTTCTTTCACCTGTTCCTCCCCAACCCCACTTCCCCCAACCCGAGAAGGGACAGGAATCTTGTTGCTGGAGGCAGTGACTGGAGAGGGAAGAGAGTTGGAAGGATGTTACCCTGTGCAGCCCTCTAATTCTCTAAACAACAAACAAACAAACAAACCAGACTCAACTGCCACCAAGTAGATTTGGACTCATAGTGGCCCTATATTCTAGAACCTCAAAATCTAAACCAAATGCCGTCAAGTCGACTTCTGACTCACAGACGTGCCTCAGGAAAAAGATAGGCTTTTTACTCCCATTAAAAGTTAGAGTCGGACAGGGCAAGATATGACAAAATACCCATTTATAAACTATCAAGGGCTCATGCGGGAGGGGGGAGCGGGGAGGGAGGGGGAAAATGAGGACCTAATGTCGGGGGTTTAAATGGCGAGAAAATGTTTTGAGAAACGATGTACAAATGCGCTTTACACAATTGATGTGTGTATGGATTGGGATAACAGTTGTATGAGCCCCTAATAAAATGTTTAAAAAAATAAAAACAAAACAACAACAACAACAAAGTTAGAGTCAGGAAGCCAGAATTATAGTCTCTGAAACTCCAAGAAGTGGTTCTACCCTGTCCTACAGGGTGGCTATGAGTCATCATCGTCCTGATGGCAGGAAGAGATAAGAGAATCTGAGACTGTAAACCTTTTAGGACAGCAAGATAAACTCAAGGCAGTCGGTCAATTCTGCCTCCACCTCATCTTTGTCCTGCTGAGCAGTTGGTGGGTTTGAACTGAGACTTTGCAGTTACCCAACACAGACCTGGCAAGCTTCATCTTTAAAGCTAGTAAACATTTTAAGCTTTGCAGGCATTAGTTCAATTCTGCGCTGGTAAAACAGATTAGCAGTGCAGACCAATAAGGTTTCAGGAAAACTTTGTAGATGCTGACACTTGAATATCATGTAATTGTCACGTGTCGCAGAATTATCCCCCCCCCCAATCAATTATCAATCTAAGAACTGATTAGAGTTCTCAGGTCATGCCAAAACAGGTGGGAAGTTAGCTTTGGCCCACTAACCTTGGTCTAGAATAATTGTGTATTATTCTATGGGAACCTACTCAGCTGCTGAACAAGGAAAGGCCGGGCTGAATTTCCCAGTCTGTTAATACAATGTACTCATTTCGATGGATAGGCAAGATTTCCCAACCCGATTAAAGGTTTACGAGACTGAAAGACAAGAAATCTTGCCAGCCGATATGGCTTTAAAATTTTTATACTGCTTACCTGAGGACAGAGAATGAAATGTAGAACAGATAATTTAGGAGTTTCAGAAAATATTTGCCTAGTTGTTGCTGTACACAAGGGTGAACAGCATATTTCATTCACTTTGAATTTTGCTGGAGGTTTTTTTTGTTCAATTTAATCTTTCGATTTCATTTCAATTTCTCTGGAGGCTTTCCCCATCAGGTACTTTTCATATGCACACAAAATGTGATGCCAGTTTTCTCTATTGAATTGCTTAACTGTTCAGATGTGTTTTTGCCTTATCTCCTCAGACTCTCACTCCTCAGATCTGGAACTTTTCGTTCTTGTTTGATAGTGGTAGCATTTTTTGTTGTCTCTTAGGCACTTTTTTTTTTTTGTCAAACAGGCGCACTCACAAGGTGAGGGCTACCTTGCTTCAATGAGCCTCAATTCGGGTATTTTTCTCAAACACCCCTCGCCTCAAAATTGCTCAGTATGAAAATGGCCCACGACGCCAACCTGTGAGATGCACTCTGGGATTTTAGATTCCCCTTTGGAGAGAATCTGCTGATCACACTTTAAATAGACTTCATGATTGCAGTTAGTCAGAAGATGAAGTCTATTTGTAAAGCCTTTAGCCCACAGTGACCACTCTTTACAGAGGAGGAACCCTCCCTACCCATGGTGGCTCTCTGTTCCTCTGTTTGCTTTTTGTCCTACACTTAACACCAGCTGACAGCCATTCTGGACACTCCCCCACGCTAGGAGGTAAGCATGGTCCTCAGGCTAGGCTCTTTGTTCTGCTGCACTCCCCCACCCTAGCATCTGAACCAGCCAGCGGGAGACTGGAATTTCTCCCCAAGGTCATGTAGCTAGTGAGTGTGGGGGTTGGAATTTGAATCCAATCCGTCTTTTGTTAAGATAGTATGCTTCTCGAGCACAGATTGTACATTGTAGAATCAACCGGCTGCTAAAAAGAACAGAGAGGGAAGAATTGCAATGCTGAGCAGGCCCTGGCCATAAGCTCTGGTCATTGGCAACCCCAGCTCTCTAGTTTGGACAAACTCTTAGCCATTTAGAAATGTTTTTAGAGTACCTACTGTCTGCCAAGCAGTATTCTGGGAACCCAGGGCCCAGGGCCCATGACTGAACAAGACAGAGAGATTCTGCTTTTTATACATTCCTTTATTGTTGCCTTTTCTTAGTACCAAAGCAACACTCATTGTTACAGAAAAATCTGAAAATTGTACCTGAAAAAGAGGGACACCAGGAATATGATTTTTTACCTCTCATCAAACTCTTTTCATCCAAATCAGCAGGAGCAGAAGAAAATACACTAAATCAGGGATAGCCATCACCTTTTGGTGTTAATGGATGATAGTTATGTTTCCCTTCTCTATTGTTCTATTA